GGAAAGAAGCACAGAACATCTCATTGGATAGTCTATGCCTATGTTAATATGATTTGAAAGACAACTAACATATAACAGAATTGGAGAGATTTAGCTGTTGTGCAGGCAAAGTTTATGATTAACAGACAATTGGTTAATTATCATTATTACATAATATATCATATGATTATATTTAATTCAATTATATTATATAATAAATGTTATATAATCATAATTAATAGATAATTGATCACTAATTCATTTTTAAATTTTTAATTCTGTGAGGGCAAGGATTATGTCTTATTTCACGTTTGTCTCTCCTCATCATCTGGGATAGTGCTACAAAAAATATCAGAGACATTCAATAAAGCTTGAAATGTTTGTTTGTTTGATTTTTTAACTGAAACCTTCAAAAAGAAAGAAGTTCCTGGGGAAGGATGCGTATTCTTGGTGCTGATATCTGAAACTTACAAATCCAAATCCTTTTATCACAAGTATGCCAAATTCATCTTATTCATTTCAATCCTATAATCACTATGAACCTACTTATTATCACTTTTAAAACTGACTGAAAGCCCAGTCATTTCTGAACATAATTATAGCACACATCCCAAAGAGAAAAGTTTTTTTTCTTTCAATCTATAAAAATGAACAAAAATGGTGCCACCTAGATCATCCTCCTTTTCCACCCTGCATTTCCTCATCCATCTAATCTCCCATAGAGATTTACATTGTTACTGCACACACTGTAATTATATAGTAACCTACTGTAAAACATTCCATAGTAGGAGTATATGTGTTACAATGATGTTTGGATATAATCATGTTCAAAAATGGCTTAGATTAGATTCATCAGCCCTCTTTGAGCTAGATGCTGTGCTACAGTTATTCATTATAATTAATGGAGTGCTGAAAGACTGCCCTTACATTACAAGGCATTAATTCAGAGAATGTTAGAGGGAGAAGGCAGCTTAGGCATCAAGCTTGGGAAAGGGTTAGGTTAACCTCTAACGCACTTGCTAGGTTGTCACTGATGGGCTCTGTCAAAGGCTGCACAGGGAAGCAGGTAGTGAAGCTAGGTCTAGCTTTTCCACGTCTTCTGGCCTAGTCTTTCTTGCTCAAATTCGGGTCCTTGCTTTAAAATCTGCCAACTAATTCATCACACTGAAAGCGGATTCAAATTCAAGAAGGAATCCGAGCTAGGTTTCAAAACAGTGCAATTAGACAATGTAAAATGATAGGCAGAGTGAAAATAAGCAGTTCAAATGAGGGCTGGTTGAGTCCTCGTCACTTGAGCTATTTTATAGTTAATGTCATTTACTATTTTGTATATGAAGGACAGAACCTGAGCGAATCTCTTAACTTTGGAGCCTCAATTTTCTCATCTGTAAAATGAAGGGGTTAGATGAGAGGATCTCTAAATTTCCTTCCGGTGCCAAAATTTTGCAGCTTCACTACTTTTTTTTTTTAAACCAGACAACTAATTTTAATAGTATAAACAATTTCCAACGAGGAAATTCTGTACATATGTAGACTGGCATCTGATCTCAAATTTATAATCTTAAAAGAGTTGCCTGGGACCTATGAGTTTAAGCGAATTTCCCAGGGTTATGCAGCCAGTCTGTCAGAGACAGGACTTGAAACAAAGTGGGTTTTTTTTATCCACTAGGCACGCTATACACACATACATAGACATACACAAACAGATATGTGTGTCCATATACTCGAGTGGATAATATACATATGTGTGTGTGTATATATACACACACACATATATATATACACACATATACATAGGTGAGTATATATATATAAACACATGAGTACATATATACACACATATACATATACACATACATATGTTGATATTGATATCTTTTGTTTTCACAACATCCTCACTTCCAAATATATCCTTCTTCTTCCCTTACCCAGTAAGCCACTCATGAAACACAACATACAAAATAAAGAAAACAAAAAATAGTTGAGCAAAATTAACAATCAATCTCAAAGTGTGTGCAACAGTTCTCTACCTCTGCAGAGATGGGAGGTAACATTTTTATGCTACTTTGACTATTTTATTACGAAGATACAGAAGGCATGATGTTACCCCTGTACAAAATCCCAAGGCATCCATTACACATTATGCATTTCTGGTTACTATGACTCATAGAAGCCATATATTTTTCTTTTTCTTTTTCTTTTTTTTTTTAAGTTCCAGAGAATGGCAGTTAAAATGATCAAGAGGTTGGAGTGGCCTCCATATGGGGACAGACTAAAAATATATCAAAGTTTTACTGTGAAAAAATGTTAAAAACATGTAATTAAAATCTATAAAATATGAACAAATATAGATTAAAAAGAACACAAATTTGCTAACCAAATGCTAAGAACGAGAGTAGGGAAAGGAATCCTTTTAACCTTAAAGGAGATATTTTAAAATAAAATAAAATCAAATATTATCTTATAAAGCTAGTAATGAATAGAGCATATTATAGTCAAGATATTTCCTCAACTGTAAAATGAGTGGCTTGAACCAGTAATGTCTAAAGTCCCTTCTAAATCTTTAATGTTTTGTGGTACCATGAACTTATGTAAATGCAGTCAAATGCTTTTTTCTAAGAAATGTTTCTTGCAGATCTATTAAGAATTAATGACATCTCAGAGCCTAAATCATTCATTGTATTTAAAATTAGACCGGCTTAGAATCTCAACATTCACTTATGTGATGAAATTCCTCCACATTATGCTCATGTAAATGAGCATATGCCCATGCAATGTGAACTTCCATTAATTCTAAGACTATAAAATAAGGAATACGAGATAGGGCAAAGAAAAAATTCTCCCCGTACCCAACATCGATAATAATAAAAAAATCAAACGGCAGAATTATATGGGGGAAAATAAAAATGTTCAAGAAGTACACCTGAAAAACAAATGATCTATGTCTCACTATTTTAAAATTTGAACTAATACTTTATGTACCACATGGACTACAACTTTAAATAGGTAAATTAAGACTAGATTGTTGTTGTCTATCCTTCGTTTTCAAAGAGAACCAGTGACATGGAGTAATGTCTTAACTTGTGGGTGAATTGGATTTCAGTGAGGCAGAGTGGTGCAAAGTCATCAGCTTTGCGCTCTCTCTCTCTTCCTGAGTCATCAAGGTCCAGCAGCAAGACAAAAGTCAGGACGACTGGAGATGGCACAGGATGTAGTGGGTGACCTTGGCACCTCTGGCACCTGACCAAGCTCTCAGCACCCCACAGCGCCTGCTTCAGCCACCTTCATGGCCATTGGAACAAATTGTTCTCATCTGCCCATTCCACCGAGAGGTGTCTTCACATGCTCTCTCTAATTTACTGACAGATTTGAGGCCTTTCAGTTACCCCTCAACCTGGTTTAACCTGCCAAAATGGTTTTACCAGCATGTGGCCACTGGGTATGCTACAGTTTCTTGGAGTCGCAGGGGACAGCTGGATGAAGATGGATACCAAAGGTAGATGAACAGACCTCATGTCAGAGGTACTAGTTCTCCCTAAACATCCCATATATTCCTAAGACTGGATTAATGAGCTTGAAAATGCTGTAAGCTAGCTTGCAAGTTTCAGTAATTAGTCACTGAAAACAATTTAAACTCCTCAACTTGGTACATACAATTTGGCCTCATCTTCCACATACAACATTATCACGAGCTACTGCCTAATTGAAACCCACTAGTCCAGCCAGCAGCCTCAGGACTACCCCTTCCACCTGACATTCCCTCATCTCAACTCCAAGGCTTGGTTTTATTATGCTTTCTGGGAATGACCCTCTCACCTCCTATTCAATAATGTAAAGTCTCACATTAGGTGTCAAGTAGGGGAGTAATTAGGGTGAATACAAACATTAACCTGGGAGACAAGTTTACTATAGGTAGGTATGTAAAGCCCTTCGGAGCCCTTCTGATGCCGATTTGCACCTGTAATACTATTCTATTCCATCCTATAAGGCTGAATCAGGGTGTTTTCTCTTTTTCTATCTCTTCCTGTATTTGAAAGGAACTCTCATGTAGTCCACAAAACTGGACTGAGGTCAAGAAGACTTTGGGAATCCTATCTCAGATACTTATTAGGGGGTAGTAGCTAGAGTGCTGGGCCTGGAGTCAGAAAGATATGAGTTCAGATTCAGACACTAACTGGCTGTACGAGCCCGGGCAAGTCACTTCACTTCTGTTTGCCTCAGTTTCCTCACTTGTAAAATGGAGATAATAACACCTACCTCCCAGAGTTGTGAGGCTCAAATGAGATAACTGTAAAGTACCTACTTACATAGTAAGTATTCTATAAATGTTACCTATTATTACTATTAATAATATTATTAAAATGAGGGGTTTAAACTCTATGACCTTCAAGGTCTTTTCTAGCTCTAACTCCATGATCCTGATCTTGATTACTATTTACTGTGCCTTTACAGATCTATGCTTTTGATCCCAGCCTGATAAGCTGACCTTATTTCATAAGATACATTTTTATGCCTTTTGTCTTTACATCAGCCATTTCACACTCATCCCTGACACTACACCCTTTTTGGGTTCCCCTCCCCTAAAAAAGCAAGAGTCAATAATACAGTGACCGTAACTGTCAACAGATACAGTACACTGCCTTTGTGGTTTTCTACCTCTCTTCCCTGGCCCTAAATTCTAACTGTGCCTTTTGCTCAATAGTCTGTATTATATGTCAACAGTCTAACAGCCCTAGACATTTCCCAACTCCAACAAACCCAGACACAGGGACTCAGTGGAAAGCATTATAGGCATTTTCCCTGACACAGGTATTCCACAAATATTTGTTAATTAAATAAAAAAGGTTAGCTACATTATTTAGTCCTATTTATTTAATAAAGCTTTTATATCTGATATTTAATCTATGCCATAGATATACATGAAAATAGACTGCAATATCAAAATCCCACATTCAATATAATAACATAATACAAGCACCTTTAAAAATGGCTATACTTATTATAGAATATATTGGATATACCTGTATAGGACCAACCAATCTCTTCCACCAGTTTTCGTTGTTGTCTGTAGTATCCATAAGCCCAATCTATAAACAAGAAAAAAAAAATATATATATATATATATGCTGTAGAACTGGTTCTATACACCATGTGGATCACAACTCTATATGGTAGGAAACACTGTAAAATACAGTCAGGTCCCTATTTACAAAAAACAAACAAACAAACAAACCAACCAACAAACAAATACTGATTTACCCAGTCACCACCCTCCTCCACCACTATGGTCCACTATTGCTACCAAATATTTGGTTGTCTGTTCCATGGGAGATTTTTGAGAATAACAAGCAAGCGCTCTTAACCTTTTTCTATGACTTGGACCCTTTGGCAGTCTGGTGAGACTTACAGACAAGTTTTCAAAATAATAATGAGAGTCTCCTCCCCTTCTTTTTCCTTTCCATTAATAGGGCAATGTGGAATTGTGGGAAAGTTATGGGTTTTGGGATGGAATTGTGGAAAAAACGTACTAGATTTGGGGTCAGGAGATCTGGTTTCTGGCTTTGACTCTGCCACTAATTAATTGTGTGGTCTTGGTCAGTCACTTAATTTCTTGGAGTTAATTTCTTCATTTGTAAAATAAAAGGGGTTTTTTCCTAAAGGCACCTTCAGTGAAGTAGGAGGAGAACCACAGAAATACAATATCACTGAAGACAAAGGATAAGAAGGCATCATGAAGGAAGTGGTTCACACTGTCAAATGCCACAAAAGTCAAGGAAGATGAGGCCAGAGAAAAGAACAATGGCCAAAGGATGTTCCCAAAGAATGAGTAGTTCTTGAAAGAATACAAATTATCAATAATCATTTGAAAATGTGTTCAAACTTCCTAACAATCAAAAATGAAAATCAAAGCAATTCTGAGATGCTACTTTACACTCATTAAATTGAGATGCTACTTTACACTCATTAAATTGGCAGATAATTAAAATGATAAAATCCGATGTTGGCAGGGATGTGGCAACACAGGCACACTATTGCACTGCGAGTTGAGATGTGAACTGATACAGTATTTTGGAAAGCAAATTCTAATTATAATAAAATTATACATAATATATAAAATTATAATTACAAAAGCTTTCAGACCCTTTGACCAATGGTTGCACTCCAAGGACTATATCATAAGGATACTATTTAAAGGAAAAAAGGCCTATCTGTACAAAAATATTCACAAAATTTTTCTTTGTAATAACAAAAAGCTGGAAACAGTTCACTGTCGAAGCAAATACTTGAATATAAATGGACTATTACTGTACTACAAATATAAAGAAATGAAAGAAATATGGAGAGACTTATATAAAGTGATGCAGAGTGAAGAAACCAGAATCAAAATAATAGACAGATTGCCTACTAGGTAAATGACAAAAAGACAATAATAACATCTTGGGGGGGTACAGGAAAGTGACGTCATTGGCATAGAGAAATTTCTCCATGGAAACACATTCTAAAAATACAGATCAGCAACTGTTCTGAAATTTGTGGTCTTAAAGAGTTGATTGTTTTGGACACTGTGTTTAAGTGATTTGTCCTGTATTCCACAGTAATTGTCAGGAGTAGAATGAAAACCCAGGTCCTCCTGACTCTGAAACTAATTCTTCTCCATTATGACAAGCTGCCTCTGCTAATAACAGTTAACAACAACCCCCAAAAATACACAGTAGAGAAAACAAATAGGACATTTTTTGTTATTATTTTGTTAAAGTTAATATGCATTTAAAAAGCCCAACCTCTTAGTAGTGGAGTTTACTATTTTATGTAAATAATTTTCTACTTTTATTTGTGTATCTGGAAGTTTTATTTTTATTGATGGCAAGTTTGGAAAAAGGATGATGATGATGATGATTTATCACTTTGAGGACTGCAAAGCACTTTGCGTATTTTCATTTGAGCCTTACAATAATCATGAGGTAGGCTCTATTATTAGCCCCATTTTTCAGATGAGGAGACTGAGAGAGGTTAAGTAATTTGCCTGGGTTCATACAGTTGTCTGATGCAAGATCTGAATCCGCCTATTCCTGATTCCAAGTCTTGTGTTCTGTTTAATATACGAACTAGCATCCTTAGACTGGACCTGTGATTTCACTGAGCCCTTGGAAAGAAAACTCACCCTACCCATGCAATCTGGCATGTTCCTCAACAAATTAAGAGTCTTAGAGAGTTGCCTTGAGCACTGAGAGACGGAGTTGCCCAGGGCCATATAGTCAGCATGTGTCAGCTGGGATTAAAACCCAAGTCAACCTGGTTAGAGGCCAGTTCTCCATCCTTCATCCCCTGCTGCCTCCCAAGTTTGGAATAATTTCAGAAAAGTTGAGAAATACAGAAAAATAACTGGATTTGAGGTAGAGTGGGAAAGAGCACTGGCTCTGGAGTCTAAGGACCTGAATTCTTTGTGACCATCAGACTTCTCATCTCTAAAATGAAGGGTTTAGAAGAGTTGACCTATGCCTCAAGCTCCAAATCTATGACTCCATGCTTAGTGAGCGAATCACAGAGGGAAGTCAGACCCCAGGGCATGAATTAGAAATCACTATTAAAATAGAATGCCTCTAAGAATTTGGCATTGAAGTTCAGGAGAGATAGCATGATAGCTTGAGGGCAGTAGTAGGCTCTGGGGAAGATTGATTGATTGATTTTAGGACTGGGGACATAGAAGACCCCTGAACATGTCTTAAGTTTGAGGGCAAAGACAGTAGAGAGGGAGAGATTTATTAAAAGTTCATTAGAGTTGAGATGTTTGTCTAAACAAGGAATTAAGAAGCTAACTTAAACTCTCTTTAGCAAGAAAGAGGAATAAATTTTTCTCTTACTAAAATGGAAGGGAGGAAGAGAATGCTGGATAAAGGTGCTGAGGTGATTAAAGGAATAAAGGGAGAGAAGTTGAGGAGAAAGAGTTAGATCACTTTTCTTCTTTGCTGAGAATGAAGGAACAATAGCTTTCGAAATGTGAAAAATCAATAAAAGGTAAACACAAGCATTGTTTCCCAATGTACTTTATATTTCATAAAGATATTCCTAGCAACAAAACCCAAAGACCATAGTCATTAAAATGGTATCCCTTGTTTTGGACAGGAAGTTCACCACACAGACAACTAAGTGCCTGGATTGACTTGACTTAATACATACATACATACATATATACATGCATGCATGCATACATGCAAGCATACAGACACAATACATATATGTGCATGTATATATGTATATGTATGTGTGTGTGTATATTTGTATATTTATTTTTCCCTCCTCAAAATTTAAACTGGATAAGCTGTTGGAAGAACAGAGGAAATGTAAAAATTTTTGAAATTAATTTTGAAAATAACTATCATTTATTTTCCCACATTTTGAGGAGATCTGCTTTTAGTAGATAAGTTTTGCTTATTTTACATAAATGACTACATGTAAAGGAATAATTGAAAGTCAGTTCCTGCTTTAGCCATGCAGAGAGCAAGGCCTTCAAAGCCGGATGGTGAATGCTGAGAGAGTTCAGCTTTACATGGCATTTAACAATGAGTATTTGTTCTTTTTCTTTTAATTACTTTTATTAAGAAAGCTTTTAAAATACAGAAGTCCCAGGTGTTGGTTGCTGTCTTCACTTTCTTCCTTTATGTATTGTTCTCTTAATTGTTACTTCAGACAATCCACTGGGCATTCATATGTTAATTATATAGGTCCTGGGCGTGAGAGAGTACCCTCACTTTTAAAATTCTTCTTAGAGGTCTGATAGATGAGTAGTGATAGCTTCAATGAACAAGAAAAAAAGAAACAAGATTCACTTTTTTGTTGTATTATATACTGTGAAAACCAGTAAATCCCATATAAGTAGGAAAGAACCATTAAAATGTATGCACATTTGAAAACCAGCCATTCACCAAACACAAAATTCACAATTTTCTGCAAAAAAAATAAAAAAATAAAAACCATGTACCAAATGTTCTTTTGATTTTTTTTTTCCACAGGTAAAATTATGGCTTCTTTATTCCTTTAATTAGTTTTTCCCCCATTTAAAATAATTAATTTCTGAGGTAATAAGGCAACATTTCAGAAAACTGCAATAAATTTAACACACAGCTAGTTGGAAAATACATAATCCTATGTCTTGATGTCACAGTTTTCCTATATTCTTTTAATGCTACTAGCCCAAAAAAGGAGCATCATTTGCATAAGTTATCTCTTCTAATCTCATGACAAATAAAGATAAATTAAATTTATTTTTGACTTAAGATGAAGTTTTTAAAAATCACCTTTCAGGCTTTAGCTATACAGCTGTATATTAGCAAATACAATATTTTTAAATGTTTGAGATTTCTATATGATGAATATTACCAACTTTAGCCCCTTAAAAACTAAAATTATCGAAGTAAAAATTGCATTATGGTTGCATATTTCTCAATATTTTATTTCAAAACAAGTGTGCACAATGTGTGAGAGTCTTCTAATATTAATTCACTACAAAGAAAAGGCATTTATAAGGAAAATTCTGTTGTTCCTTTCTCTATGGCTATTGATTGTAGGTGGCCTTGGAATCCTTTCCACAATCTCTTTGCATAATTAAGAGAAACTCTTTTGGGCTATAACAAGGTCCTATTTAGCAAACTCCAGTTCAACTAGGTATTGTTTGTATTTGTCTTAGATCTCCATTATTAAAGCAAAGTCAAAACATTTTTTGTAATTAAATTTTTCTCCACAATTAGTTAACAACTTCAAAATAATGCATATTGCTAAGACATAGTTATAACTCTTTGTCTTTAACCTTATGCTTGTTGTGAAATTTACTTGAGATCCTTTCTAGGCTCTAAGTTAACAAGCTTCCCAAGGTCATTCTCCAAGTCCACAGAAAGCCTGCAAATAAAACTCAGGTTTCCCCTGATGAATTCTGGGGCCATGGCCTATCCATCAGGGCATGCAGTTAGTTTCTCTGCTAAACAAGCATTCAACTGCAGTTGATACAACCCATATGTAACACATTTTTGGCTATGGACAAAGTAACATAAAGGAAAGAAAGACTCTTTTACTTGTTTTTCTGAAAACAAAA